GCCCCGCGCCCCAAGACAGTCCGGAGCGCGCCGACGCTGACGCCGGCTCCGCGCGCTGCGAACGCCGCCGGGCTTTTCGGGGGGGAAAAGCCGAAAACCACGTCACCACAAACGCCGCCGTGGCCTCTGACCCCGCGCGCGACGGCGGCGCGGCAGGGACAGAATTGCTCGCGCGCGCGGCCCCGGGGGGTGGGGCGGGGCCGGCGTGGGGAAGGGGGCGGGCTTCATTTTGTTAACAGGCATTTAACAGAGAGGATGGTACGACATGGTGGGGGGCTGCCTGCAGGGTATCGCCCTCGTTCGCGGACTGCGGGGAGCTTGTTCGGTTCCGGCCGGGGGTGCATTTGCGTGTCACGGTGTGAGAGAGTAAGGAGGGCACTATTTTTCGTTTATTTTGGCTGGGAGTTGTGGTTTGTTTGGAGACAGGGTCTCGGGAACCGCAGCCTGGCTTCGTGGTCACTAGGGAGCCCCACTGTAGGTTCCAACTGTGTTGCCTGGCCTGACTTCAAGCCATGGCTGGGAAAAAATAAGTCCAAAACTGGGTGTGGTGGCGCACCACTTTCATCCCAGCGCTCAGAGGCTGAAGCAGACGGGTGGGTATCTGAATTATATATATATATAATCAGTGTCACACAAACACAGAAACAAAATGTCAGTGTCCCAAGGCAATTCATTTCTGTAAACAGGGTGTACCATGACCCGAACCAACCTAGCAAGCGCACCGAAGATGATGGGCTGAGCTCTCAACTTGCTGCCCTGCCTGCCCATTGCTGCCCTGTGCTCCCGGGCTATCGTGGACTCTAACCCTTAGGAACCGTAAACCAAAATAAACTCTTTCTTCCATAAGTTGCCTTGATCACGGTGTCTTATCAGTTACAGGAAGGTAACTAACACAACCCTCCTCTCTGTAGTCTGGACTCTGGTTTAGAATCCACTGGGTGTGGTTTCTATGCCTCCCTGGACAACAGGATATTTCAAGCCATGTCTCAGTCCTCTGAGACCTTGGTGACCTTAGAAGAGGCAAAATAATATTTTTTTAATTCCTCTGACCACATTAATATAGACCTCCAAATATGAATATTGAAAACCCAGAAGATCAGTTACACTTGTCCACCTGTCTGGTCTTGTCTTTTTTTTTTTTTTTTTTAAGACAAGGTCGCTGGGCAGTGATGGCACATACCTTTGATCCCAGCACTCTGGAGGCAGAGGCAGGCAGATCTTTGAGTTCGAGGCCAGCCTGGTCTACAGAAAGAGTGCCAGGACAGCCAGGGCTACACAGAGAAACCCTGTCAGGAAGGAAGGAAGGAGGGAGGGAGGGAGGGAGGGAGGGAGGAAGGGAGGAAAAGGAAGAAGGAAGGAAGGAA